TCATCCTAGCAGAATAGGAATCACCCTTGATAAATCAAATAAATAAGTAATGAATAGACACTATCTTTATTGGTGATCTGACATGCTCCAAGTCGGTTAGAATTGGGGCCACCCTACAAGAGCCTGTCCGAAGTCAACTCATCTATTTCCTCCTGGAAAATTCTGACGTCTTCGCTTGGAAACATGAAGATATGAAGAGAATCGATCCAAATGTATCATGTCACCGTTCGAACCTTGACAGAACTACAAAACTGGTTGTGCAGAATCGACAAAAGCTCGGCCCAGAACGACAAAAAGCATTAGTGGAAGAAGTAAAAAAGCTCATAGACAATAAATTTATTAAAGAGGCAAAATACCAAACATGGGTATCTAACCCAGTCTTAGTTAAGAAGAGTAACGGTCTGTGGCGTCTATGTATCGATTTTTCCGACCTTAATGAAGCGTGCCCCAAGGACAGTTATCCTTTACCTCGTATTAACTACATGGTAGATGCAACATCGGGACATGAACTAATGAGTTTTATGGATGCGTATTCCGGGTACAATCAAATAACGATGAATCCCGAAGATGCCGAACACACGTCTTTTTTTATTTAGCCCGAGGTTTGTATAGCTACACCATGATGACTTTTGGTCTGAAGAATGTTGGGGCCACGTACCAAAGGCTGGTTAACAAGATGTTTGTCGCACTCATTGGCAATACTATGGAAGTATACGTTGATGATATGTTAGTGAAATCTATCCACGCCACCGACCATATAGAACATCTGCAGGACATGTTTAATATCTTTAAAGAATACTCTATGGTGTAAAATTCGAAAAAATGCATGTTTGGAATCAGTTCTGGCAAACTCTTAGGGTATGTGGTGACCCAGAGAGGCATAGAAGCCAGTCCAGCGAAAATCCAGGAGATTCTTGACCTCACACCTCCTACGTCGGTTAAAGTTGTACAAGCTCTTACCAGCCGACTCGCCGCACTGAACAGATTTACCTCAAAGTCGACAGATCATTGCAAGCCATTCTTTGAGTTAATTAAAAAAGGGAAATAGTTCAAATGGACTGAAGAGTGTCAACAAGCCTTGGTCAACATTAAGGAAGTACTTGCTTGTCCCCCGACTTTACAAAAACCCGTACCTGACGAAGTGTTATACTTATATCTGAGAGTAAGTGAAGTTGCTATCAGCATTGTCCTTATCCGAGAAGAGGAACACAAACAAGCACCTGTTTACCATGTCAGCAAAGCATTGCATGATGCAGAAGTCCGGTACCCTCCCATGGAGAAGCTTGCCTTTGCTTTGATAACCGCCGCTCGAAAATTATGACCTTATTTCTTAGAACATCCTATTATGGTACTTACTTGTTACCCACTGAGACAAATTCTGCACCGACCCGACACTTGGGGTAGAATGGTTAAGTGGGCAGTTGAACTCAGACAGTTTGATATACGATATAAACCGAGAATAGCTATAAAGCCCCATGTGTTATCCGACTTCATCGCGAAGTTCACCCCGACGATTGAAACAGTAAGAAGTGAACAACCCTGGACCCTATATGTCAATGGATCTTTAACTTCCCAACGAGCCGGAGGCGGTATAGTCTTGACCAGTCTGGAAAATCAGATCTTTTGCCATTCCGTCAAATTCCTATTTCCGCAACCAATAATGAAGCTGAATATGAAGCTCTAATCTGCAGCCTTAATTTAGCAGAGTCAATGAGTGTAGCGTCACTCCAAATCTTCTCCGACTCACAGTTATTGGTGAATCAAATAAATGGAGGATTCGAAGTCAAAGAACCTCGGTTAGCACCATCTTGAATGTTAACCAAGAAGAAGCTTGCCAAATTTGATGCACATATAGAGCACATTCCACGATCCTCCAATATCTGAGCTGATGCCCTCTCAAGATTGGCAGCAAATACTGGCGTGGATAACATCGAATATATCCAAGTCGGTTAACAGGAAAAACCGTCAATTTCAACCGAAGACATCATGAATGTTGAAGTAAACACGCTGAAGAGCAACCCGACTTGGATGGATCCCATCATGTCCTATTTGAAGACTGGGGTCTTCCCCAATAACCCCGTAGAAGCTTGGTCCCTTTGCATCCGAGCAGCTCGTTTCACTCTCGATGGTGATGTAATTTACAAAAAAAGCTATTCGCTCCCCTGTTAAAATGTTTGAATGAACGAGAATCCCGGTATGTTCTTGAAGAAATCCACGAAGGAGTCTGTGGAACCCACCTCGGGGCACAAGCTCTGGCTTATAAAATTCTACGACAAGGATACTATTGGCCAACCCTCAAATTAGATGCTTCTAGCTGGGTACGTCGGTGCCCGAAATGTCAAATATTTACGCCTAATGTTAATCAACATCCCGAGAAAATCAAGTCTATATACAGTCCATGGCCATTTGCCAAATGGGGATCGATCGAATCGGACCACTTCTGACTGCTAAAGGAGGACTAAAATTTGCTATTGTTGCTTTGGATTATTTTACCAGATGGGCAGAAGCATAACCTTTGGCGACAATAACTGAACAAAAACTTATAGACTTCATTTGGAAAAGTATCGTTTGTCGGTTTGGAGTTCCTAATTTAATCGTAACCGAAAACGGACGTCAGTTTGAAGGGAAAAAAAACTTGACACATTCTGTGAAGAATATAGCATTAAATATTTCTTCTCCTCTCCATAACATCCACAATCCAACAGACAAGTTGAAGCAGTGAACAAGGTTATCAAGAACAACCTGAAACCTGACTTGACGCTGCTAAAGGTATCTGGCCTGAAAAGTTACAACATGTTCTTTGGGCTTACCGGACAACATCTCGGACATCAATTGGAGAGACACCTTTCTTACTTATATATGGAACAGAAGCAATGGTGCCTGTTGAAGTCGGATCTCCGACGTACCATGTAACACATTTTGCCGAAGATACCAACTTGGAAAACCTTAAAGCAAATCTTGACTTAATAGAAGAAATTCGAGTCCATGCCGAGATAAGAAATACTGCATATAAACGGCAAAGTGAAAGATATATCAAAGCCAAAGTCAAACCCCGAATGTACCGAGTCGGTGACTTAGTCCTCAAGAGAATCACCGGACCTGATCCCGGACCGTTAAAGCCAAAATGGGAAGGACCCTTCAATATTAGTTGTGTTCTGCCAAAGGGCGCTTTCCGACTCGAGTATCCTGATGGAAAACAACACCAATACCCTTGGAATGTCGTCTACCTCGAAAAATACTACCAGTGATGAAAACACGGCGATGTACATTTTTCATACCTTTTCCTACTTTAAAATAAAAGAACTACTTCTTGTTTTCTACTAATATAATTTCTTATCCAAACCCCGAAGTTGGTTTTATGAAAGGCCACTCTTTTGCCAAATCCTCAAGATGATTTGGTGAGGTTCGTTCTTTACTCGGGTCCTGAAGATGACCTGATTTGACCACTTTCCTTTCAAATCCTGAAGATGATTTGATGTGGTCAATTTCTTGCCAAATTCCTAAAATAATTTGGTGAACCTCGTTCTTTTACCGATTGCGCACGACAACTCGGTATGGCCGTTCTTTGAAAAAGAACTATTGAGTGCTCAAAAATGGTTCATCTCCACACGAAGCCTTAAAATTAGCTTCGATGGACTTCTTGGTTTAAGTCGGAAAGATAAAGGCCGACGTTCTTGATTAATTCAAGTAGAATTTTCTTTTATCTCGATATTAAAGGTTTCAAAAATGATTACCCTTAATCTGAAGCATTCTTAATTCAAAAATAAATCTTTTTATTAACTACTTATCTTAAAAACCGAGATAAAAGACTTCTTTCTTTTATCTTATTTAAGTTTAAAATACTTGCACCAATAAAAAGCAAGTAACGCGAAAGTGACTCAAAAAAAGAAAAATCCATTCATTCATTCATTCAGTCTTTCAACATAAAACACCAAGTATCGACATGCCGACACTTGTACAGAACACATTAAAAACAAAAAGAACATAAAACAGTTATAAAGATCACAAGCACGCCGACGTCTCGGCACCATCACTCCCTTTCTCAGCAGCCGTCTTCAAAGCCTCAGCATCCTCTTTCTCAATTTTTTCCAACATGGCTTTCCCGATAGATCCCGGTCATTTTCCTGTTTTTCTTCGGTCACAGTTTCAATCACATTTTCTGAGAACATCTCCTCCTCGGTCTGCACTTCCAAAGATGTCACTGGAATTATCGGATCTGTTGCCGAAAACTCCTTAACTTTTCTCGCCGCAAAATCAAGCACGTCCTGACGAAGTTACGCAGGACACATGTTCTCAATGTTCTGAGCTACGGTCACCACAGTCAAAGTATTGATGAAGACTTCTGCTAACTCTATCCTCTTATCTCTCTCGCTTATAAGAATCATCTCGGCGTAAGCGCGACGTAAGCGAAGATCACGTTCTTCACTTAAGGGAATGATGTTGGGATTCGCTCTCTCTTTTTCCATCTCGGCTCGGCTGAACAACCAACCACAAAAATCGATTTCATCCTCGTCAGCCGACACATTCATTGACTTGGTAGCGGAGTTAAGCCCATACTTCTCTAACCTCTTCAGCAAGTAAATTCGTAAATCATCAACAGTATAAAGTCCATCTCCAACTCTTTCAATGAACTACCTCAGACTTACGCAAGTGTTGATCTCGAAGTCCTCTGCCACGTTATCATTCTCCTCCCACTCTTCCTTTTTTTCGAGAATTTTCCCAGCCTCCATACCTTCCTCATATCTTAAGTTTCCAAAGTTCTTTTTTTCTTCCTCCAAACGGGCAAGTTCTTTCTCATGAGCCTCGCGAGCTCGGATCAATGACGCCTCCTTCTCAGAAACGATCACTTTGAGTAGTCTGGTGATCAGTACGTTCTTTCAACAGTTGTTCTTCTTTTGCTTTGGCCGTTTGCTCCGCAATAGCAAGTCAGTCCGCGAGATTCTTCAACTCGGTCTTCAAATGTTTCTTCTCCGAAGTCAGTTCAACGATCTCGAACTGAGCCACCACCAACTGATCGTTCTTCTCGGCAACCGAGGCTATCAAACCAACTTTCTTCTCCTCCAATGATGCTACCATTCCTATTTGAACTTCTAACTCTTCCCAGTTCTCGTCCAAGGCAACAAGGTTCTGACGGTAACTGTCCTCGGTCGAAATCAAGCTGACCAAAGCACGACCAAGACATGCTTTGGCATATCCAAATCTATGAAACCCGGAGAGCGACGAAATTCTAGCATTAATCCTTGGATCCCACATATGGGTCGCTTCCATAGTTGTCCTTGGAAAATGATATCGGTTGGGTAGCTTTGGACCCTCAACCGATGCAAATGTCATGCATCATTTGTCTATCACGTCCGACATTTTAACCTTCTTGGCCCGTTCTTCATAAACTTTAAGGTAAGAGACCTCGCTGACTTCAACCGAGATCTCTTTACCCTTTTCCTTCTCCTTTTATTTTTCTCTTTTCTCCTCTTCCTTCCTTCCTTCTTCTTCCTCATCTCCTTTCTTTTCTTGTTCACGGGCATCATGTCGGTGCTTTGTTCTTTTCTCATCTCCACTTTGCGTACTCCGAGTATGCCTCTTACTTACCCTCCTCAAGGGCATCTCATGTTCTCCTGCTATTCCTTGTTTGCCTCGGTTTCCACCGGAGTAACTCCCTTGACTGGCTCAAGATCAGCCTGGTTGATGGCCTCAGTGACCGTGATCTGAGCCAGTGCTAAATTATCTACAGCCCACCTTGGCTGACCATCTCGAAGTGCAGTACTTGAAGGCACCTCTGCCCCAGCAACAGATGTCCCACTGACATTTTTCTATTTTAAAGACATTACTATATTCCTGCGATTCATCTCGATGAATCTTGCTTCCTTGAATTTTCCTACTTTGGCTCGAAGTTCGAAATTGGGATGTCCATTTCGATACGCATGCGCATCCTCTATTGAAGTAAATTCGAAGTACCCCAACAACAGATAATAAACTGCGTAGAAGAAAAAGAGAGAATAAAGAATCAGAGGACTAGACAAGTCAAAGTCTATTAGATTTAACGGAGACCAAATCTGACTATATATGCTTCATACCTAGAATAATATTCTTCTCGGCAACACCCGGAGACAAGCCTTCCCGTTCAAGTATGGAATCCTGCACCAATCGCTTGTAACTCCTCCTTGCTTTACTAAGCTTGAAAAACTCTCGCCTATTACATCGGAATGCTTAACCGAGGGCAACATCATCGCGCCTTCTTTTGGTGGTACCTTTTATGTCTAGCTCGTTCTCTTGGTCAAAAGCTTAAACGACTCCTTAGTGTCTAAGCCAAGCCAAGAAGAATCGGAATCAATTTTTGGTAACTCTTCTGTGTCCTAGATGTAAATCCTGAGATAAGGCGAAGAGGAGAATAAGTGAAGCCCTGGGACCGCTCTCTGAGTTGGAAGGAAACAAAATAATCTCAGACAAAGGCCTCATGGGAAGGGCCTAAGCATTGTGGCCTAATCAATTCCAATTATGGATGGCTAATCACCGAGGAGTAAAGAAAACTAGTATGTTGCTTAGTCAACAGATTGAAATGAAAGGATGTTCGTTCACAGTCGATTTGGTTGTCTTGCCTGTAAGCAGTAAGAAGATCATTTAGTTAGAAGAAGCTCTTCGATCGACTCAGGAAGTACCAACAACCTTTGAATCCGGCCAAGTGTACGCATGTTCGGAGCTAAATCAGGAAAATTGCTGGCTTTCATTGTCAGTAAACAAGGAAAGGAATCGAAGTTGACCACGATAAAATAAAGAGATGGCCATTCAGGAGATGCCGATCCCACGAACTGAGAAACGAAGAAGAAGTTTTCTGTGAAGGATCAACTACATTGCCCGCTTCATCTCAAACCCCACTGCAACCTGTAAAACCTTTTCAAGCTGATAAAGAAGAACACCCGAAAGAAGGCAGCAGGCCAGATGATTAACACTAGAGAGCGCCTGAAGGAAAGAAGGCTCGTTGAGACCTCAATCACTGATTCCAGCAAGAATGTCAGGTGATACCTATGTTGAGTCAAATAGGCGTCCTGTTGACTATTGGTCTGCGAGCAACCGGGATTAGTGAAACCCGGACAGTAAAGGCTTAACCATGAGAGCAAGCGAAACAGATCTTGTAATATCCCGTCAATTTCAGTATAAATTATATTTTTAGTTCCGATATTAATTTTTGGAATTAATTATTTTCAGTCTTTTCAGTCGAAATTACCGGAAATTATTTTCGACGTACCGTTTACGTTCGAAATAATTTTGGTAATTAAGTATTATGCTTAATTAATTAATTAAGCTTTAATTTGTGATTAATTGTAATTAATCACCATTAGCATCATAAAACCCGTACAGAAATTCCTTATTAATTTTTCACATAGCCGTACATTGAGTAAGGAATCATTTGTGGAAGTTGTCCAAACACTCTTTTCATTACTAAGCATTAAATGTGGCATGATCTAAGGA